ATTATGGGGAGCGGGGACTTATGGGGTCGTTATGGGGTCTGGGGTCGTTATGGGGTGTGGGGACTTATGGGGTCGTTACGGGGTGTGTGGACGTATGGGGTCATTATGGGATGTGGGGTCGTTATGGGGTGTGAGGACTTATGGGGTCGTTATGGGGTGTGGACATTGGATATGGGGATATGGGGCCATGGGTCCGTGGGGATATGGGATCATGGGGACCCTGGCTATGGGTTATAGGGCCATGGGGACCCTGGTTATGGGTTATGGTGCTGTGGGGATCCTGGTATGGGTTATGGGGCCATTGGGACCCCGGCTATGGGTTATAGGGCCATGAGGACCCCAACTATGGGTTATAGGGCCATGCGGACACTGGACATGGGTTATGGGGCCACTGGAATCCTGGCTATGGGTTATGGGGCCATGGGGACCCCAGCTCTGGCTTATAGGGCCATAAGGACCCCAGCTATGGGTTATAGGGCCATGGGGACCCTGGCTATGGTTTATAGGGCCATGGGGACCCCGACTATGGGTTATAGGGCCATGGGGACACAGGACATGGGTTATGGGGCCATTGGAACCCTGGCTATGGTTTATAGGGCCATTAGGGCCCCGGCTCTGGGTTATAGGGCCGCTGGGTCCCTGGTTATGGTTTATAGGGCCATGGGGACCCCGACTATGGGTTATAGGGCCATGGGGACCCCGACTATGGGTTATAGGGCCATGGGGACACTGGACATGGGTTATGGGGCCAGTAGAATCCTGGCTATGGGTTATAGGGCCATGGGGACACTGGCTATGGGTTATAGGGCTATGGGGACACAGGACATGGGTTATGGGGCCATTGGAATCCTGGTTATAGGTTATGGGGCCATGGGGACCCTGGCTATCGGTTATAGGGCTGTGGGGACCCTGGTTAGGGGTTATAGGGCCATGGCTTCACTGGCTATGGGTTATAGGGCCATGAGAACCCTGGTTATGGGTTATAGGGCCATGGGGACCCTGGCTATGTGTTATAGGGCTATTGGGACCCCAGCTCTGGGTTATAGGGCCATGGGAACCCTAGACATGGGTTATAGGGCCATGGGGACACTGGTTATGGGTTATAGGGCCATGGGGACACTGGACATGGGTATGGGGTCATTAGGACCTTTGTTATGCGTTATAGGGCCATGGGGACCTTGGTTATGCGTTATAGGGCCATGGGGACACTAGCTATGGTTTATAGGGCCATGAGGACCCCAGCTATGGCTTATAGGGCCATGGAGACACTGGACCTGGGTTATGGGGGCACTGGAATCCTGGCTATGGCTTATAGGGCCATGGGGACCCCAGCTCTGGTTTCTAGGGCCATGGGGACCCTGGACATGGGTTATGGGGTCATTGGGACCTTGGTTATGCGTTATAGGGCCATGGGGACCCCGGCTCTGGCTTATAGGGCCATGAGGACCCCAGGTATGGGTTATAGGGCTATTGGGACCCCAGCTATGGCTTATAGGGCCATGCGGACACGGGTTATGGGGCCATTGGAATCCTGGCTATGGGTTATAGTGCCATGAGGACCCCAGCTATGAGTTATAGGGCCATGGGGAGCCCGGCTATGGGTTATAGGGCCATGGGGACCCTGGACATGGGTTATGGGGCCATGGGGACACTGGTTATGGGTTATAGGGCCATGGGGACCTTGGTTATGTGTTATAGGGCCATGGGGACACTAGCTATGGTTTATAGGGCCATGAAGACCCCAGCTATGGCTTATAGGGCCATGGAGACACTGGACATGGGTTATGGGGCCACTGGAATCCTGGCTATGGCTTATAGGGCCATGGGGACCCCGGCTCTGGTTTCTAGGGCCATGGGGACCCCGGCTCTGGCTTATAGGGCCATAGGGACACAGGACATGGGTTATGGGGCCAGTAGAATCCTGGTTATAGGTTATGGGGCCATGGGGACCTCAGCTATGGGTTATAGGGCCATGGGGACACTGGACATGGGTTATGGGGCCATTGGAATCCTGGCTATGGTTTATAGGGCCATTAGGGCCCCGGCTCTGGGTTATAGGGCCGCTGGGTCCCTGGCTCTGGTTTATAGGGCCATGGGGACCCCAGCTCTGGCTTATAGGGCCATGAGGACCCCAGCTATGGGTTATAGGGCCATGAGGACCCCGGCTCTGGCTTATAGGGCCATGGGGACCCCGGCTCTGGCTTATAGGGCCATGGGGACCCCGGCTCTCGCTTATAGGGCCATGGGGACCCCGGCTCTCGCTTATAGGGCCATGGGGACACTGGTTATGGTTTATAGGGCCGCGGTTCCCCCTCACCGTCGCTGTCGGCGCGGAAGACAAAATGGCGGCCCTGCGTGACCACCTCGAACTTCTGGTCGCCGACGGCGCCCACGTGGCTGATGGAGGAGACGGGGATGAAGCGCTTGGAGAAGGCGTCCTGGGGGGGACAGGGGTGGGGGGCGACAGGGGGGTGAGGGGGGGTGGGGGTGGGGTGGGGTGGGGGTGACGGGGTGCCGCCCCCACCCCGACCCCCCCCAAATCCTCACCTTATCGCTGGCGAAGTACCGCAGGTATTGGGAGTCCAGGGTGACCCAGCGGCGCTGGTACAGGTAGTGACTGGGGACAGTGGCACCCATTGGCACCCATTGGCACCCATTGGCACCCGTGGCACCCATTGGCACCCATTGGCACCCACTAATAGCCATTGATACCCATTGATACCCACTGGCACCCACTGACACCCATTGGCACCCACTGGCACCCATTGACACTTATTGTCACCATTGGCACCCAGTGACACCCATTGGATCCCATTGACACCCACTGGCACCCATTGACACCCACTGGCACCACTGGCACCCACTGGCACCCACTGACACCCACTGGCACCACTGGCACCCACTGGCACCCACTGGCACCCATTGACACCTATTGTCACCATTGGCACCCACTGGCACCACTGGCACCCACTAACACCTATTGTCACCATTGACACCCATTGACACCCACTGGCACCCAGTGACACCCATTGGCACCCATTGGCACCCACTGGCACCTATTGACAATTATTGTCACCATTGACACCCACTGGCACCCACTGGCACCCATTGACACCCATTGGCACCCATTGACACCATTGGCACCCACTGATACCCATTGACACCTACGGTCACCAGTGACACCCATTGGCACCCATTGGCACCCACTGGCACCCACTGATCCCATTGACCTCATTGATCCCACTGACACCGCTAACACCCACTGACACCCATGACCCCATTGACCCTGTTACCCTATTGACCCCATTGA